TCATTGTTGGGGATGGTGGAAAAGACAGGAGGGCAATTTTTGGGAAAGGTAATTGGAAGATGATTGACGGAGCTACTAGGGTGGTTGGGAAAGCCATGGTAAGCCGGTGAATCTGGAGAGTATGGGGGATCATCTGGCACTGTGACCGGTGTTTGGGTAAGGGTAGTATTTAGGAAGCTAGGTGGTGGCGGGGGTGGTGCCTTCCTGGTCATCCAGGCCTGATACATGTCCACCATGTGTTGTCTTAACATCCTCACCTCTTCAACCAACTCATTGTCCTGTTCAACTAATTTCTTTTGAGCACCTGTATCAACCAACTCAGTTCTGTTGTTGTCTGCCATTGCCTTTTGACTTATGTTGTAGGGAAGAGTTACCACTTTAAAACCACAAACCAACCACCCCTATACTATAAATATAACAAAATGAAGCCATCACGTTAGCGTTAGGACATTTAACATAAGATAATCTCACTTTATGTGCAATGCACCTAGCCACAGTTATCGGTTCTGAAATGACTTCGAGGGTACAAAAGGTCAGTTGGCATCATCCCAATTTGTTCATTTCAATCCTCTCTATTCTTTGCTTTTCTAGAACTTGCTTGATCATTTTCCTTCCTCTTTTTCTAATTTCACTCTTTTCTTTCCTCTCATTTCTCACATCCCACAATTCCATCTCTTTTTCTCTCTCTCGTTTTCCTTTTTTCCTTTTTTCTTTTCATTTAACAGTAAAAAAAATGATTCGATCGAACTCTATGTAGGTTGCCTATGTATCATGACGCCACATGAATCAGATCTTTGCGTAGTTCGGGAAGATCGGGAATAAAGTAAACAAACTAACATTTTCATTTTCTTTTCTTTTCTTTTCTTTTTTTTTCTTTCTTTTGTAAAACAGATACTCTATGAGAAATTATCAAGGAAAAACCCTAAAAGAGAAAAAATAATTTTTTGATTTTCTTTTTTTTATGAAGGAAATCTAAGGAATAAACCACAGAAAAATATTTTGAATATTTATTTGATATCCTGACGCAAGATTTCAAAGCAAGCAATGAAAAAGATAAAACAGAATGTTTTTGGATTTCAATTTTGATTGCCTAGAGGAAAAATTCTAATGATAAACAAAAGATAAAGTATGCTTTTTTTTCTATATACAATATCCTAAAGTTCTAATGAAAATAAAAAGATTTTTTTTTATTTTTCACTAATTTCCCAAACAAACACCTCAAAAGAATATCTTTTTGGATTTTGGAATTAACACCTTAACGAAAGCTTTTAAAGATGTACTAAAAGAAAAATTCTCTTTTTTTTTTTTTGAATTTTGGTCCTAATATACTAAAGAAAACACAAAAATAATTCATTTTAAGTCCTAGATATTAATTGCCTAATGGCAAAAACAACCTCAAATTTTTCCATTTGTAGAATTAGTATTCTAAAGAAAACTTATAACGGAAATATAAAATGCAACATTTCTTTTCTTTTGCTTTTTGATTTATAACACACTTTTTCAGATGCAAAATAGAAAATACAATGGTAATAAAAAACTCAACATTACTATACAAAACTAGAAAGTAAAAGACGACATAAAAAAAATCTCCTTAAGCAACTTCTGAATGTAGTGGCCCTGGGATATCTGTCATGCTCAAACTCTGGTAAATAAATCCACACCTGTACGAGAAAACTTTAAACCAACACTATGTGAGACAATAACATTCCCTACTAGACACATGCAAAACATGGTTGAGGCTATTTTTGCAAAATGACTCATTTGGCCAAAAGGTGGTTAGAAGTGCAAAATTTAGCTAAGACCCCGCAAAGCCAAGAACTTAAGATTTACTAGGAAGACCGGACCCTATGTGGGTTGCCTACGTATCCCACCCCGAGAGACGAGAATCAGGTTCGCGTAGTTTGGGCAAATTGGATACGGGCGAGAATAATAAAAACCACTAATTCATAGAAATCACATTTTTCTTGCTTTTTCTTGGAAAATGACGAAACATGCAAAATCTTTTTGGATTTTCTTTTTCTCTCTTTTTTTGATTTCTGATTTTTGAAAAATGATGAAAAAGTGCAAAATCTTTTTTGAATTTTTCATTTTTTTTTTCTTTTGTCCTTTTTTCTTAAAAAAGTAACAAAAAAACATAACTGTACCCTACTTGCATTATTTTCACACTTCTTTCTCTTTTTTTTCTTTTCTTTCTTCTTTCTTTTTTCATTGTTTTTTTTCCTTTTTTCTTTTTTTTCACTTTTTCATTTACCCTCAGTTATCATTGGTCCGCCAAATGATCCTTTTACCCTTGAATAAATGCAATATGTAGCACATAGGATGCATCAAGATGGTCTGTTATTTCGGACATACCTGTCCTAGACGGACCCAACCCTTGTATTGAGTCCTCAAAGTCAAATGCACATGATGCAAACAAATGTACCTACTAGGGATCCGGCATGAGGATGTGTTTTTTCTAGGTTTAAATCCTGGAGTTTTGGTCTAGACTTGGGGTACCCGAGCGGACAACTGGGGCCGAGGAGGGGGCGACGTACCGGGAGCACTGAAGTCTACCCGGCCTTGTCGCTTGCCCAGCCTCGTTCTATTTGGTATAATTTCTACAGAAAAAGCGGTCTACGCGAACGTATGCACCATTTTCAGAAGACTCAGAGGGGTGGCGTAAGAAGACAGTTATATACAACTCAAACAATATCAAAGCGGTAAACAGACAACATTTAGCACAAAAGGTTCACATAATACAACAATATAGACAATAAATAAAGCCAAGTAAAAATCATGTTAACAAGCTCGAATTCTTGAACCCTGAACCAGAGATTCTGGGTTTCTGTCCCCAGCAGAGTCGCCAGAGCTATCACACCTCCTTTTTACCCACACCCCTGTGAAGGGTGTATAATGGAGTTTTTTTTCAATTTAAGTGACAATCGAAACGGGATCGTTTATTTAAAAATCAGAGTCGCCACCTGGGAAATTTATGGTGTCCCAAGTCACCGGTTCAAATCCCGAATTGAGGAAAGAATGACTCTGTATTAATGTCTGCGAACACAGAAATCCGGGTAAGGAATTCTGTTAACCCGGGAGAAGGTATTAGGCATTCCCGAGTTCCATGGTTCTAGCACGATCGCTTTGATCATACTTGGCTTACTAAATTGTCCAATTACCCAATTTTAAAACCTATGTCCACAATTAATAATGCTTTATTATTATTAAGAAAGTTTGGCCAAAGTTGCGCGAACGCATACTCTGGTTTTGTTTTTAAGATCATAACTATGTCACGCGGACGTGTACACAACAACGATGGTATATTAAGTCATACCTAAAGCATATTAACTATATATCAAAGATTGATGGTTTTCCTAAAGCTTGAGATTCTAGCAAAAGCATGGGTTACGAAATTATTGTACCTTTATACCGCCGGGCTTCATCTGTCTCTAGATCACCAAACTTAACCAAGGAACCTAGCAACGTGATGTAGTCCTTGTTAATTTGCTTTGTACACGCAATCTTTGTACGCCCCACAATCTCTACATTTCTTCTTTATTGCCTAGATTTGCATAGTGGGAGATCAAATGATTGTAACCTATTGCATCTTTATGTAGCCGATCTTCTAATTTTTTTCAAGGAAGTAAGAGCCTTCTCCTTGAACTCGGATTTTATATAAAAATTAGCAATCATGGAATAAGTGATCCAGTCCACCAATATAAAAGGCTGGCTTTCCATTAATTCAAGAAGCTTCTCCATACTACTAAAATAAGCTCCTTCACCACAACAATTGATGAAGATCCGAAATTGGACTCCAAAAATGGAACCGTTGATAGTAAATAAACAACAATAGCTGCCTGAGGACAATGAACGCATGGGCGGCAACAAATTTCACTTCAACCCAAACAAATACACGTATGAATAGACAAATTAGAAGAGCTAATTGAGATGCAATCCGGATATGCAAGCTAATCAACTTCTAATTTTGCCAAAGCAACTAAAATCTGAATGAGAGTGTTAATTATTTATGCTCGGAAACTATTACAAGCAAATCCGGCGCCGGAATTCGAACTTCCAGCAGCAAGCGAGCAAAAACAGCAGTAAAAATTGATTCGAAACTAACGAACTTGAATCTCACGAGCAGTCAATAGACCTCGGCTAATCTCCATGTTTTCGGAACCAACAGTCAGAGTGAAAAATTGGAACACTTGTGTATCTTTCAAATTTGGAGCCAAACTGAAACTAAGGAGAATTGAAATTTTTTTATTTTTTTATATGTGAACGAAAGGACAGAGTGATAACCTTAGATAGAAACAAGGTTGGTTTGTCGAATATCCTCATCCATGGCTGTCGTCGGAATGTTAGCGATGAAACGGGGTAAAGAAAACAAGGAACGAGGTCGTTTTGGCCATGGCTGGTCGCCGGCGATCAGCGATGGCAGCGAGAAATGAGGGATGTTAAAGAATAGGGACTTGCTGCTGGGGAATTTTATTCATAGGATAGGGCGTGAAGAGGATGAAATCAGGGGGTGGGGTCTTTTGGAGAAGACGAAGCGGGGGGTCCTTTTTTTGTCTACGCAACCTTTTCCCTTTTTAGCCTTTCGTTTCTTCAGCCTTCTCCCCTATTTATTATTTAGTCTTAGGCATTCTTTTATAGTGTAGATTCTAGGTTGTAGGGTTTTAGGTTAAGGGGTATGGACCTAGGAATTATGGGCTTGGAAATTGTGTGCTAGGTCCAAAATTAGGCCTAAAAATGGGTTGCTCGAGCCCAAGTTCTATCCTTTCCCTGCAAACGAAATTAAAAATATGGTCCCATTTATTAATTAATCCTACTATTCAAATAATTATTAAAATAAAACTAACCATTAAAACAAATCTATTTTTGGTATTTTCAAATATCATATTAAAATAAAAATGCGATACTATTTTTTGTATATTTGTTTTTAAGAGTAAAAATGACTACAAAACATTAATGAACCTATTTTTTTGTAATTTTTGTTTTCTTGTAATAAAATAAAGTAAAAGAGTCAAAATTACTTAAAATATCTATATTATACCTAAATTAAATATTTATGCGCTAAAATATAAAAAATCTTGGGGAGTCAAAAATCACATGTCTACATGAGTGATAGTTATGGGATTAGGTTGTACGTCGTAGTAGTTAAGTTGATGATTATGATAGTGCTTGGGTTGTAGGAGCCCCTCCAGAGTCTGTAACACACCCCCAGTGAGCGCAGTTGATGATATTGAGGGATGGATCTTCCCTGGACAAGGATCTTGTCCGAAGTATTTATACCTGGAGATGGATCTTCTCCATAGGGATGGAATGGCCTTCCTCGGTATTGGGTGACTGCGGTCAGTGATACATATATATATATATATTCCGGGATGGATCTTCCCAGGGCCAGAGGACCATATACAGTATCGAGTGGTTGAGCACTTGTGAGTGGAGGTACACGGAACATTGACCATGCTATCTATGCATTAGTATATAGAGATTTCCTGAGCTTTATACTTCGTACTGTTCAGACTGCATTTATTTACTGTTGAGTTTTTACTTGAACTGCAAGTATGTCAACTTTTCTATACAATTTAATGGTATTACCTATTGAGGTTTGGTTCGTCGCTACCTGTCAGTCCGTAGTTTGGACTTGTTACTTACTGAGTTGGTGTACTCACATTACCCCATGTACCTTGTGTGCAGATCTAGGTATCTCGGGCCACGATAGCGGTTGCTGATCATTTCAGCGAGGTACCTGCCTGGCGATCGCAGTCCCGCCTTCGCCTTCCTTATCTTTCTCTTAGTGTATTTGTTAGCTATTCTCAGACTATGTTAGCCTTGTTTATTTTGAACAACTGTAGTATTTTGCTCATGACTTAGTGACACCTAAGGTCGAGCTTGTATTTTTTCTGTTTTGTTTTGACTTTTACTTGTACTTTTATCGGATTTCAGTTGGAAACATGGTTTTACTTAAGTTTTAAATGAAATATGGATTATTTGGAAATTAGTTGGCTAGCCTAGTTTCACGTTATGCGTCATCACGACCGGGTCGGTTTTGACTCGTGACACTTGAAGCATGATTAATAGACATAGAATGAGCGGATTTAGGGTCTATATCAGGTGGTTCAGGAGGGATTTGGTTTGATTAGCTTAAATTTGCCATGTCCACTGACTTAGGTTCGCCAGTTAAAGTTGAAGAAGAAGAAATATTTTCTTTTAGTGAGAGGTTGGAGAGAAATTTTTTACTTTCACCACATGTCATGTTTCCAACTTTCGTAGAGGCCGCTAATTCAGCTCTACCTATATTACGTCTTTATTTCTTTTGGGGTTTGCATGCCCGTCAATTAAACTTCTATTACTCTGTTAGATGCTCCATAGGGATTTTGGATTAGAGATTTACTACTTGAGTGCACATTAGATTTTATAAATTAATTATGGATTTAATTTGTTTTTATTATTAGTCCTATTTAATATGCGTTCGGATTTGTACGTATTTCTCATAGTGTTTATACAAAAGGATAAGAGTAAATGAGTTGGTTTGTAAGGCACGTTTGTTAGCTGGGTGTCAGTCACGTCTCGGGATAGTTTGGGACGTGACAAAGACCATCACGAAATCTTTGAAACTCATTTGCATATATCCATGCTTCCGAATTGAATCATTCTAAATAAATCAAGTCACACAGACTGTCAAACACAAAATTATTTCCACAAAACACGTGTAAAGCCCGATCGTACCAAGGAACCGATCGTTTCTATTACCATGCTCATCCAAACCATTACTAATATGACCCAACTCCTTCAAATTCCTCTTAACTTGTCTTTAAGATAAAACTTATCTTTCTATGTACCTTAATAAAAACACATCCCAAGTGATCCTAATATGAAACCACGTTGTCCTATGATGCATTAGCTACTTTATTTCCTTTTATGCACCCAGTAGTACCTCAAACCGATATGCTCGCTCCGAAGAGACCTTCTATGAAGTTGCTTCTTTAATCTCTATAACCCTACAATGTAGAATTAATAATAATGATATAAAAATATCGCAAGTCTCGAAACCATCGAAGGAATATTTCAGATCTTTAGCCACACCACAAAATCCGACAAATCCTTAAGTACCACATGCCGAAACTTAAACCTACAAGAACCTTTCTTGAGAGTCATCCACTCTTCTTTAATATCATATGCATAAAAAATACGCACCAAATGAGTTGTTCTCTATTAGCACATAAATACTTTAAGAAGCAATTTCACGACCCAAAACCCCATCAAGGCGTTATGGCACCTAATCTAACCCCCTAGGTAGGCCTAACAGTATAAATGTGATGACCCGATAGGTCATTTTGAGTAATAGCCTTTATTTCTATGTTCAAAGACCTCTCATAGTTTCATTTGGTGTTATATAACTTGTGTGAATGGTTCGTATCATTTTTCGGAAAGCTTTTATGTGAAATTTTAAAGAAAATGTGATTTTGACTTAAAATGTGGTTCGATTTGACCATAGTCAACATTTTGGTAAACGATCTCAGATCAATATTTTGGTGATTCTGGTAGATTTATATGACACTTTTGGAATTGAACTCATGTTCGCTTGGGGTCCCTGGTTACCCGGTGGCGTTTCGGCTCATTATGTAAAAATTGGCCAAAGTTGAGTTTCAAGTTTAAAATATTGAGTTTTGATGATCGATTCTTGATATTTGATGTTATTTTGATGATTTGAGTTAGCGAGCAAGTTTGTGTGATGGTAACACACTTGTGTGAATGTTTGGATTGGGGCCTGAAGGGATCTAATGAGTTTTGGATGTGTTTTGCGAAGTTTTTGAATGGTTGAGTATCAGCTGTTGCTGATGTGGGTTTGCAGATCTCGTATTTGCGAGGTCCTGCTCACAAATGTAAGCATCACTTTTGCGGTCAATGAATCACGTTTGTGAAATGGGCTGGGCTGGGCTGGGTGTCTTCGCATTTTCAAGGACAAGTTTGCTTTTATGGAAATTGTACCTTCGTATTTGCGAGCATCATGATTGCATTTGCGACCTGTGAGCGTTTAGGATAGCTTCCCAGTTGTAAAGTTTGCACTGCATTGGCGATGGTTGGGGGCTTCACAAATGCAAAGAAATTGTTGCCTTTGCGACTTCTAAGGGATTGTGGCACAGTTCGCATTATGGGCGTCGCAATTGCGAACAAGAGTTCGCAATTGCGATACCTGCATCTAGGTAAAAGATGGAAAAATTGGGACATATCTCATTTTACACCATTTTCAACGCTAGACTCCATAGAGGCCATAGAGGCAATTTCTTTGGAGCTTTTCTTCCCAAATTCGTTGGTAAGAATATCTAACTAGTTTTCAATCAATTTCAACTCTTTTCATGATTTTTTAACATCAAATCTTTGAATTCAAGTTAGAAAATAGGGGTTTTGGGTAGAATTTAGGAATTTTAAAAAATTACTATTTAGACCTTTAATTATGGTCGGATTTCGAAAGAAATCACATATTCGAGCTCGGGGATGAATGGGTAATCGAGATTTGGTCCAGATTTGACTTTTTGTTTACTTTTTCAAATATGATCAAAGTTGAACTTTTTTCATTCGTGGGTAGTTTTTCAAGCTTATTTTGAATTGTAGGCTTGTACTAACGGAAAAGTCGTGGTTGATTGTTGATTTGATTCCGAAAAGAGGTAAGTATCGTGGTTAACCTTGACTTTAAGGAATTAGGACGTCATTGGTCTATTTGCTACTTGACTTATATGTGGGCACGATGTATATGCAAGGTGACAAGTATATACGCATTGTCATGGGTTAAGCATGTGGGGCGGCTACTTAGTTGTTTGTCATAAATTACTCCATTCCTTCATTTATTCCATGTTACTACATGTTATATACTTTAATTATTACTTTCCTATACTTGTTAAATTCATTCTTTCATTATTTATATGCCTTAATTTGCTATGTGTTTTCATGTATCTGTGTCTTCATTTATTAACCACCTTTACTTGCTTCATGTTTTTATATAATTTTAGATAGTCACTTCTACTTGTCTTATGTCTTTATATGATGACCCAGTAGGTCGTCTTGTGAATTGTAGTCACGTTCCCCTATTTATTGCTTATTTGAGGTAGCTGCTATGACGACCATAGACCTTGATTCTCTTTCCTTTTATTTTTTTCAGTACTGTTCTACTATTCAGACAGTTGTACTAAAGTTTTCTCTATGTTGAGATGTTGTAGTGCTTATGTACTCATTGAAACCAATTGTTTGGATCGTTGTAGTAGAGATTTAATTACTTTTATCAGTGTTGAATCATACCAAACCAACTCAGATTGACCTCAAATTTTTCATGCAAGTCCAAAATAACACGACGGACCTATTCCAACTTTTAGAACCAAAATTCGAGCTCAATATCAACAAAGTCAACTCTTGACCAAACCTCTCAACCTTCCAAACCTTCAATTTTCCAACTATCACCAAAAAGCCTCCAAACCAACCTAGGGACCTCTAAATCAATATTCCGGAAGTATAACTAAGTCCAAAATTACCATACAATGATATTGGAAGAATTAAAACTCCATTCTGGAGTCGTATACACAAAAGTCAAACTTTGGTAAACT